TCGAAATATACCACCCCTAAAAATATTTCTACTTATTTAAGACTCACCCTGTATAATTAAATTGCGAAGTGTACTCAATTTACCTGATTTTTTCACATACTTTTATTTTTTATAGTGATTTAGAATCTTGTTGAATAATGTGAATCTAGGATTATTGAAACTTTTAAATAGTATAAAGCTGTGTTATAGAAATAAAAAATAAAAATACAATATAATATTTTTTAAACGTAATATTGTTTATTTAAATTAAAATGTTTTTTTTTTCGTTTCAAATGACAATCCACCACTGGTCTGCGATGGAAAAGAGGCTTGTTAACAGTTTGTTGAGCAACGTAACAGTTTATTTTTTAATAAGTCCGGAGGGAGTTTAGATATGTCTAATAATTGTAAAACGGAACAATTTTGGGTGGGGTTTAGTCGTGTTGTTTTCCGTGATTCCACGGAGTATCGAGTTACCTTCTCTTTGCTTTTAATGCGCGATAAAAGATTTCAATTCGTGAGCGAATAAAGATCAACAATTTTCTCAGACACATATTCACGCAACATTTAATTACAAATAGTATTTATTGCATCAAAATATTAGCGAAAAATACGTTTTATTGACTTTTATAGCGACGTTTGATTTATACCACTGTTAAATAACAATTATTATAATAATATATTAGCGTGGCCCAATAAAATCGCGGATTTTATCGAGGCTCATTTGCGGCAAATAAATGAAACGTGGAAATTATGTTTAAAACCATCAACCAGTTTTAAAACATGCGGAATACCAGACCATAGAGAATTCTTTAATGAAATAATAATTATTATATGTATTTGTATAACATTCGTTTAAGATCAATACAGATATTTTTAAAAGTAGGCACCGATATTATTATATATATGTATGTATCAAGAAATAGTTACGAAATTTTTATGAGTCAATTAAAATAAAAATTGGTAGAAAGTGAGGCTCTAGGGTTAATTTAAGCTACCGAAAGATTAAGATTTATTATAAAAAATCGGCGAATGCCAATATCTGCGCCGGAGAGCTGCCACTTGATTAAGTAAAGGGTATTTATCTTTGGGGAAGTAGCGGTCCATCGATTTTTTTCTATCTAGTAAGATTTGTAACGAGCGGGGCCGGATGAAATACATGTTAGTGACAGTTCGGCATGCATTTCGGGGTATCTGAAAGGGTTGGCAAGATAAAGGGCTACGGTAAATGAGTCCGTCCGTCCTTCCGTCGGTTGCTGTAGCCTCTGGTCACTTTCATTAACTGGATACTTGACAAATGATAATTGGTAAAGCGATTGGTCACTCTGTACCCTGTCACTTATACCTATCGTTCCTCATTTACCAATTCTATTTAGCCGACGTTGCGAAATGGCACCTACTAATTGCCAATGATTTATATTATTTATACAATGAAATATCACGATTTTAATTGCGTTTTCTTCTGCCCGATCGAGGCGACTTGCACAGGTCAAAATACCTGTTTCCTTAACAAACCATGTATAGCGCGTAGGCTTGACCATCTTAAGAACAAATAATATTGATATACATATACTGACTCTGTGCCGTATATCCAAATGTTTTAAGGCATAACCGAAAAAATAACTTAACTTGGTTGAATATTTTAATCGTTATGTTACTGTAAATGTCCGAAATGCGGTAAAACCTAGTAGAAGCGCGCTAAACATAGGATTTACCAAAAGCATGTGGTAAAATCCCGAAAACTGTAAATGTCCGATTTGCGGTAAAACCTAGGATAAGCGCGCTAAACCTAGGATTTACCAAAAACATGTGGTAAAGGCCCGAAAACTATTTATTTTGCTTCCATTTCGGACTTTTACCGGACCCAAACAGTAAATCTTAGGATTTACCACACGGCATTGGTAAAAGTACGAATAAGCAAGTGGTAGTAAAAACCAACCAACCCCACAAATAACCACGTAATCAATGCATTAACACCCCCCAAATAACCAGGCTAACAAATACATTAACACCCATATTGTTGCTATAAGAAAAATAATTCGTACTTTTACCAATGCGGTGTGGTAAATCCTAAGATTTACTGTTTGGGTCCGGTAAAAGTCTGAAATGGAAGCAAAATAGAAAAGTTTTCGAGCTTTTACCACTTGCTTTTGGCAAATCCTAGGTTTAGCGCGCTTATCCTAGGTTTTACCGCATTTCGGACATTTACAGTGACAGTTACATTTGAGAATCGTATCACCGTATCTATCTGGTCAATTTTTTCGTTTTCGGTGCATTCATGGATATGAATTATTGTGAATTCTTTTGCCTTTATTGTTATGAATACGTATGCTTTATGAATAAACTAGCAAGAGTCTGAAATCCCTTGATGTCTGTTGTTTTGCATATCAACAACATAAACAGCAATTGTTATGAGAGGATATGGAATAGAGGTGAGTTGAATTTACTTATTGTCATATGAAAGTCATTTAATATTATTTTTATTATTTTCAGTACAAGATGAAGAGGAAATATCATAATATTAAAGAAGCTTCGTATTGCGTCGGGTCGATCGGCGTTTATTGTGTTTATGTAAGGGTTTTCAAAGAACCTTAAGGTCTCAGTTAGTATTACTAAATGTTCTAATTATTATTGATGGTGTCCGATACGCAAAGTTTTCAAGTGCTACAATAGAATGAGAATTTTGTAGAGAATAGCGAAAGTTGAGGCCTAGAAGTAGATTGAACTAGATAAATTATTGAACAATATTAAATTTGACAAAAATCAAACAAAACATGTGGTAAAGGCCCGAAAACTATTTATTTTGCTTCCATTTCGGACTTTTACCGGACCCAAACAGTAAATCTTAGGATTTACCACACGGCATTGGTAAAAGTACGAATAAGCAAGTGGTAGTAAAAACCAACCAACCCCACCAAATAACCACGTAATCAATGCATTAACACCCCCCAAATAACCAGACTAACCAATACATTAACACCCTCCAAATAACCAGGCTAACCAATGCATTAACACCCCTATTGTTGCTATAAGAAAAATAATTCGTACTTTTACCAATGCGGTGTGGTAAATCCTAAGATTTACTGTTTGGGTCCGGTAAAAGTCTGAAATGGAAGCAAAATAAAAAAGTTTTCGAGCTTTTACCACTTGCTTTTGGCAAATCCTAGGTTTAGCGCGCTTATCCTAGGTTTTACCGCATTTCGGACATTTACAGTGACAGTTACATTTGAGAATCGTATCACCGTATCTATCTGGTCAATTTTTTCGTTTTCGGTGCATTCATGGATATGAATTATTGTGAATTCTTTTGCCTTTATTGTTATGAATACGTATGCTTTATGAATAAAAGTTTGCCCAACGATCCATGACAGTGACAATTGTGCCTGCCATTTTTCAACTACCTTTAATTTTCCTATAAAGTAAAGTCCGTCTGTCTAGCGAGTCACGGAAGAATATCGTCAGACGACATCAAAACAATTACGGGAAATACATTTTTCCTGTGAATTAATATGACCGACAACAACTCTCACTATCTGGTATTCTCTCGTTAGACAAACTATACATAAATAAAATCATAATTTATTTTTCGAGGATTTTTTCCGGATTTCAGTGCTTAATTGTCCGGAATTTCCAAAACCTTGTATGGAAACTCTATGCAAGTTATAAGACCACAACGTGGGGATGGGAAAAAAAGAGATACGAATTTGCAGCTTAGACCCATGCAGGGTCGCTTAGGATTGTAGAGGGTAAGATGGATGATTTTTAGATTATTTTTTTTTCAAAATCTTTTAGACAGATTTTGGTATTATATTTATACTCATATAAAACGATCTTCAATACTTCAGTTTATATATACTGTTTTTTCTAGAGGAGAAATAGCTGCTGAGGCTTAGGACTAAAGTTTTCCCTGTGTACGCACGGTAGAGAAATTTCCGTTTTTACTGCTGGGTCCTCTGGCCGGTTGCAGGTTAAGTATTTCATTAGAGAGCGTCGGTAAAGTTTAAATGCCGCTGCCCTCGGCTTTAATGGACATCTCCCGAGTGCCCGAGATGTCAGGAGCAGCAAGTGGCAGCGGCGACCCAGCGTGGAGAGGCCCATTCGCGCTGAAATGTGATTTACGGTACACAATATGCATATGCGCGTAGTTGATATCAACTTAAACGAGCCGATTTTTGCCGTGCCGTTATATGGCGGTGCGTTGTCACGACCGTCTTGGGCTCGACCAATGCCTAGCTGAGACCACCAGTTAATTGCCGACTAAGGAGAGCTAGCTGCAAGCTGCCAAGTGCCCTCCGTTTATGTGCACGCTGCTGCAGCTTGTATACGACTTATATCGAGACACGGATTTTATACACCGTAAAAAATAACTTTTCAATATTGTTCCATACCACAAGACTAGATATATAGTTAGGAACTATCGGAATCAAGAAATAGCCATCTTATTTAATAGCCAAGCAGCATTAAAAGCGATCAACTCAGTAACCATCAATTCGAAGTTGGTTAGAGAATGCTTAAGAATGCTCATAGAAAAGGAGCGAACACTCCACTTACTGGAGCCAGAACCACTCGAAGAAATTTCTTAAAACTTGCGACCGAGAAAAATCAAAGATTTCCTTTGATTTAAGTAAGAACATTCTTCGAATTGTCACGGGGTTTTTAAAAGAATATTGTCCCCTGCATGAACACCTCAGTAGATTGAAGCTAAGAGTCAACGGCGAATGCAGATTCTGTGGGGAAACATCAGAACACCTCATCGCTGAGTGCACTGAGTCGATAACCATTCGTGCCATCAACTTTGGTACGACTGATATCGGAGATGGTGGAGAACAAACCTTTGTAAAACTGTCTTAGATACTTTTGTCAAAGCCTTGAGACTGATGAACTACAACTCAAGAAAGGGGGACACAATAGATCCGTAATAATGATCATTCTATCGTTTTACTAAGTAAGTATAGGTGTGTTATATTTTTTTCAGCTTTTTGGTCCATTTGATTTATAAAGTAACTCCGCTACGCCAGTCCCAAGCCTGGGGCCCCATTGCACTCTGGGGAAGGAGGAGGGGGAGGAGTAACAACCTCGTTAAAAAACCAGGGTTCATCTGGCCCGGATGATAGTACCCTGTCAGGGCTCCTATCTAGGATACAGACGAACATGCTGTCTTGTAGAAAGGTGTTACGCACGTCAAACGAACTCTGATCAAGGTATATATGTTTATATAACCTTGATCAGAAATTAAGTAGGCCTTCAGGTTCAGATATCACACTATCTTTATAATATTAATAATAAATAACTCAGTAAAGTGTCAGTCTCTAAACAATGATGAATGGAGACGAGAACTACACAAGTTACGAAACTAATATTAGTGAGGTAGGTCTGGATTACAAAACTTACCTTCTACATAATAAGTTAGTACTAAAATATTCTATTTTTTCCAGGACTTCTCTAGTGCGGCACGAATAATTGTTTTTTTTATGCTGCTTCAGATATACCCAAGGATATATCCAGATATATCTATCTTGATGCATGTTAAATCTACTAGCAAGAGTCTGAAATCCCTTGATGTCTGTTGTTTTGCATATCAACAACATAAACAGCAATTGTTATGAGAGGATATGGAATAGAGGTGAGTTGAATTTACTTATTGTCATATGAAAGTCATTTAATATTATTTTTATTATTTTCAGTACAAGATGAAGAGGAAATATCATAATATTAAAGAAGCTTCGTATTGCGTCGGGTCGATCGGCGTTTATTGTGTTTATGTAAGGGTTTTCAAAGAACCTTAAGGTCTCAGTTAGTATTACTATATGTTCTAATTATTATTGATGGTGTCCGATACGCAAAGTTTTCAAGTGCCGCAATAGAATGAGAATTTTGTAGAGAATAGCGAAAGTTGAGGCCTAGAAGTAGATTGAACTAGATAAATTATTGAACAATATTAAATTTGACTGAAAATATTCAAATCAATTGCAATACACAGAATCTCGGGAATAGAATCTCAGAATATATATTTATACCAAAACACTTTTTTGGACTAGATTTTAGCTTATAGACTGGCGCTATGGATGTGCCGCGACCAGGACTGGAGATTGGGCAAGGCTTTCCAGTTATGTTGGATTTGGATGTTTATTATAATCTAAGATTATAAACCCTGAGCTCTGCTACCAATTTCATTTGAGGGCATGGTCTGTTCATGCTGATATATTCTGAGTGGCGGTAAATCGTTTCTGATATTCGGTATAAAATCATGGAAGACTATGGAGTTGACGTAGGTATTTGTCAACTAGGTTAAAAATGTAAGTGACCTTAATTACCTATAGTATGATTAAAAGTTTTATGGTCAAGCTGACTTTGAACACGGGGGTAAACATATTCATTTACAATGCCATTTTCTATCTGTTTAAAGAAATTTTATCCGTCATAATATAAAAGTCATCAAAATGTAAAGTCAGCATGATCATTAGATTTTTTGATCATAGGATAGTTTTTTTTCTGAAATATAAAAGGGTTGTTGTTCTTTTTAGTTACAGTTACTTGAAGATTCTTGAAGAGATTCCTGATGAGTTACCTTGACTGGTGAAGCTCTAGGGCGAAGATTTGGGGACACTATCAATACATAGGATTAAGGTTGAGAACGAGATTGAACCAGGTGTGTTATACGTTTGTCTCATTTTCTTTTTATTTCCATCTAACGGGGTTTCTCTTTTGTTTCAGGTTAGTGCTAGGACTAGATTAGATGTAGCTTGTAATCGCGAGTGATAGTGAAAATATGGGGCCCTCTTAGTCTCGAAATCATTCGAAAATCTAAACAGTTTTTTACTGTCGGTCGTAGTTTTCGACATAATTATTGTAATCAGAAAGCAAATCTATTATTTTTCAGGGAATATATTTTTTTTCGTATAGCATTTATTTAACTTTTAAAGGTTTAGTAGGTTTATTTAAAATTTTGCAATATTTGTTCAACTCTTCCTTGGACTATGAAGATAATATAATATGAAGGTCAGTAATAGAATTTAATGTTGATTGAATTTTCGGGAATGAACTAGAAAACCCTAGAAAACCACCAGAAGAACAAGTATTGAGAAAAAATATATTAATGGGATAGAGGTAAATAAGACTCTAGAGGTAAATAAGACTATGCATTTATATTTTATTCTTCAACATTTTCTTTAGGCATCGACTGTTACCTAATGACAACGTTAACTGTGCTCATGTTTTATAGTGCTTTCAATAAATCACTAATTTTCGGATTTTTCTTTTTTGCCCTAAATGCCTAGGAGACAGTACCTGACAGTATTTTAGGAACTGTAGAGGAAACAGGGCTATGAAGGAACTCTAAAAGGAATAATTTGAAAATATACGAAGATCTAACTGGATTGAAAAAAGAAGAATATATATGATGAGTGAAGTTGGTGAACCACATCACACCATTTAGGAACCTTTAAATTACATTACTAATAAATGTTAGTGTTGTTAATTTGCAGATTGCCTTAATAAATGAGTTTAACTGATTTATTTTTCATTTCAATTCTAATTAGCTCTATAATAGGGCACAAACTTATTTGTAGGAATTTGAAGATCAAAAAACTAATAGAAAGCTGTAGGTCTCTGGATTGATACCGATGGTGAAAGATACAATTCAAGATACAAGGAAAGAAACTAGAATAGATGGATTTATTGGAGGAAATAGTAGCAGTCCCAATTAATGTTTTTCCTAAGAATATATAAGGCGAGTAACATTCAGTCTTTATTAAATATCATACATAGATGTATAATAGAACTCAAAAGAAGATTTTTTAATAAGATTTCTTATTACAGGTCTACTACAATGACACGATCCTTCTTGCAAGAATTTGGAGTTGAGAGGTGACTGCGATTTACAAAACATACGTAAGAGTTTTTGCTATTTATTAAAATTATATTTTACTTTACACTTTAAGAACTATTTATTTTCTAAATATATTTATTATTTTCTGTAATTCAAACATAATATCATCGACGTTACTTAGTAATTACTTTCTTGCTTTACCCTGGTCTTCTTAGAACATTTCATGCCGTTGGTCTCTCAATTTTTGTTTCTCACACTTATTTCGGTTTTTGATATCATTTAGTAGCAATTCCGATCTTCTTGTAAGTCTTCTTCACTGTATGCTCAATTTTTTTTGTATCTTTTCTGTTGTCTATGTCTGTCTCTAACTTTTGTTCTGAAGTATATTGTGTTTCAGGATAATGTTCTTTTTGTTCTATTATACAATTACCCAATTATGTGTATATATGCATTAAATATGTATTTCCGAGTGATTTTTTCTCCGAGTGTAGGAATTCAGCTACGCCAAAGTCAATTAGAATATTTAGCTAGCTGCATTCTGCAAGGTGATCTGGAAAATTAAATTAGACCCGAAGAAAGTGAACAGTGCCTAGCTTTAGCGGTACACGATCGAATATGTTTTCTTATTTATTGCATCGCTTACCATTAAATTACTTTTAATCAATCCTTAATTATTACTGTTCAAAAAAACGATTAGAAAGGCCAAGCCATCTCTATGTCACGTAATCATTTTGCACTTTAGATACGCTTTATTAATAAATTTAACCAATATTAGTATTAACGTCAGTTTAAATTAATTAAATTTGTTTAGGTACTTCTTGCATGATTTTTTTTAATTTGTAGATAATGTTTTTTACGATCGAGTTCAGAATAAGTGTAGATTTTTGATGGTGGTTAAGTTAAAACGTTGCCTAAATCTATTATTAAAAATAGGCTATATTTTCTCGTTCAATACCTTTTAATTAGTTAATAACAGCTGTTTAATCAAAATTAAAACTTGGCCAAGATCACCGGATGGAAAAAATCGAATAATTGCACGTTATTGTTTTTTTTATGACTCGCTCAGAAAAATAATTATAGCTCAGAAAAACAAGTTAAGAAAATTTTCAGAATTTGCTGGAAATTTATGTACTTTTAGAATATATTAACCTATAAAAGCTTAAGCATTGTGATTTTGCAACACTGTCAAAATCGGTGACAACTAAAATCCTCAGTTTTTATAGATTAGAAAAATCGATTAGAAATCGGGAAAAGAGCTTGTTGAGGCTTTAGTAAAATGTTTAAACAGCCAGGATGCTTCATATTACGGGCGAACAGTTTAAGAAATTGGATTTTTGAGCTTTTGCCACATTAAATTAAATAACAACTTGGATATTCCTGAATAGTTAAAGGAGAAACATCTCGCAAACACGTTTAACCTTTCATTCCGAATCAAATTCTAACTCTAAGAGGCGGAATCCAGTAACCTTTACAGTTATAAAGGAAGATTTAAAGAATTTGTATTAAACCATGCCAAAGAAATAATCTCAGAAGCTATAATCTTAATATCCGTCCGTAGAAGTTGCACTAATAAAATTAATTAAATTGATATCTATTTTCTCTATGTAGAAACTAGAGTGAGTAAATATATATATGAGCATATTTTATGACAATTTTTTCGACTTTTTTCCATATATATAGTCACGAAAATTGGCGATTTTTGTCATGACACTGATTTTATTGAAGCTGCTGTTATTTACTAATTTAAAGGTGTAGACTAAGAAAATATAGGCCATTGTAGTCTCACGAGAACAGTCATTGATCTATAGGACGTTTTAATCTTCATCTAAGATAGCTGAAAAATAAGTGCCCAAACATTTTATTTTCTCACAAAGCCAAGTTATCTAAGCCTTCAAAAGTGCATATATTCTGAATCTACATAAAATTTTCGTAATTTCATGACTATGTTTACTATGTTTTTAAGCCCTTTGAAAATGTGTAATAATAGCCAAAAATGGGCATTTTTTGAATTTTTTCCCTACATATACTCAAGAAAATTGGTGATTTTGATCAAGTCGCGGATTTTCAAGAAACTACTGTTATATAATAATAAAAAGACGTAGAATAAGAAAATGAAGTCCATATTTGTCATACGTGTCCGGTACTAGATCTAGGCAAATTTTAAATCATCAGAAATCGTTCAAAAACAAGAGTTAAAAGAAATTAGACTATCACAGAATTCGAGAACTTAACAGCCTGAGTGCTTTGGTTTTACTAATTATATGAAATTTTCAACAAAATATGAAATTTCAAAATGTTGTTATGTTAATAGTTAATTTTTTAACATTTTTCCTTCATTTGTCAACATTATTTTCAACTGAGTACTTGTTCCCTGCGTGTATGTAACTAAAATTATATATACAGAGTCTTAAATAAGTGCAGATATTATCAGGGCTGACATATCTCGATAAAATACATATTTTATTTTTTTATAACATATCTTTTCTTTACCGTTCATCAAATGAGTCCAAAATAACCCAGATATTTTACTATAAAAATTTCAAAAATTGATTTTTCGCTTCAATTTTGAGAACCGTTGGATCTTTTCTGGATTTTCTTTCTTGTAAATTTAATTTACTACCTATTATGAAGATATTATGGTTTTTAACTAAAAATTAAAACATTTTTTTTTTCAAATTACGTGAAAATTTGGAATTTCCACGAATTTTCGCTAGAAAAAATAACCATAGAGGTGTTTCTAGGATCGAAACCCTGTATATTTACCCCATCAAAGCTGATGATTTTAAAAAGAGCTTAAAGTGCAGGGGGAATGCCCATGGATCGTTATCCTTACCTCTATATCCCTGGCGACATTGTAAGATTTCCTATATCCATGCAAATAGGCTTGGACAAATTACAGTCGATGTACGGGTATAAATTGTTGAAATAAAGTAGCTCGAGATATTTGAAAGATGCCGCGCGAGTTTGTTATCGTTATAAATTTATGGCTTAAAATTACTTTATGGATACTTTTAATCAAGCATTTCCTTTTTTGCATCACGGCGCATCTCATAAATGCGTAGGAATTCGGACAACTTCTGGCAACTTATCTCGTTCGAGCGTTGCAAACCCTCAGCTGACAAAGAATTTACTTTTCTTTACATTGTAACAGTTCAACTGATCAGCTCAATCACGTAATTAATTTTAATAGCCCGAAAAACAAATAAAATTTTAGCAGTAAAATCACGCAAAATGCAGTTTAATTACGGCCCATTTAAGACCTCAGAGCGTTTAATATAGGGGTCCATCTTTCAGAAAAAAAGGCCATAAAATCGTTTTCTCCTGTACCATCTCTCATCTCTATTATCTACTTTATGCTCGTATTAAACTTATCAGCTTTGATGGCGTAAATATATATATAAATTTTAGTTACATATACACAGAAAAAAAATACTCTGTGAAAAAATTTATGTTGAAAAATTCACTATAATCATAACGACAAAATTTGAATATTTTAAAAGTTTAAAAATGTGCTTACACCGAATACTGGATGTGTAAAGCTAAAATAGACTTTATTTTCCCATTCTACGTCTTTTTGTTAGCCCATAACAGTAATTTCGTGAAAATCCGCGGAAATTTTATGTACATTCAGAATATAGACCTCTTTGAAGGCTTAAGTACCTTGCCTTCGTGAGAAAATTAATTTTTTGGACCCTTATTTTTCAGCTATTTTTGATGAAGATTAAAATGACCCCTAGATCAATTACTGTTCTCATAAGACTACAATGCCTGATATTTTCTTTTTCAACGCCTTTTAGTAGACATGACGAAAATCGCCAATTTTCAGTGAGTATGGGTATGTATGGAAGAAGTCGAAAAATGTCAATTTTTGGCTACTTTTGACACATTTTCAAAGGCCTTAGAAACATAGTAAACATAGTAATAAAATTATAAAAATGATATAATTTGTAAATTAATATGTTTACATTAATATATGTAAATTCAGAATATATACTTCTTTGAAGGCTTAGGTACCTTGGTTTTGTGAGAAAATTAATTTTTTGGACCCTTGTTTTTGAACTATTTTTGATGAAGATTAAACCGCGC